TAGTAACAGAGTAAAATAATAAATAACCTTGACTTGAGTATAAGCCAAAGGGGACTTTTTCAGCCTAAAAAAGGGCTGAAAAACTAGGCTTATACTTGAGTATATACAGTACTTGGGGTACAGGATAAATATCAATTTCTTAACCATCCCCACTTTACTGCTCAGGACATTTTGATTGTTTCCTTTCCAAGATTGTCAATGTTCTAACTTTGAGGCAAACAGCCATTTTTCATAACTGGATTTTGACTGAACGGCTGTACATGATGTTTTACACTAGACAGCATGGAGTGTTTTACAAAAGCAGCTCAGAATTAGGTTTTAAATTTTCAGCCTTATATACAAGTGCATTTTATGAAAGTGGCTACCTTACTGACTCCAGAAAATGTCCAAAGAGAGACCACCAAGACAGAAGCTACATACACCATGAGGAAAAGCTCGGAAAGCTATGTTTGGCTTGGAGAAGGTGGTAAAGTAGTATGATTAAAAGGTAAAGGTTTCCCCTTGACATGGCCATGTCCTAGGGAATAAAGGGAGGAGCCCTTAAGCTAACCCAAGGGTCATGTTTCAGCTAGTTAGACACGCAAAGCACTCGTGAAAAGGTGAAGGATGTATTATTTGAGTTGTTGGTACTTGTCTGCACACAACATAATGAATTGAGTTGGCTCAAGGGCTCCTCCCTTTATTCCCTAGGACATGGCTATTACCTTAATTAGAAAGGCTGCATTTTCTTTCTACATAATGGATCTGGAAAAAATCCAGGATCCAGTGTAAGGATTTAAACCCTAGACTACACCCTTCCCTGCCCTGGCTCAGTTAACTAGCAAACAATCTCAACTTTCCAACTTCCAGTTTCCCAAATACAGAATGCTTACATATACAGTATCACTCGTGCACCCCATTCCATCCAACTTCAGCCAGGAGAATCAGGTCAACTACTGCCTTAAGTCTCTTAAGTTAAGTGAATGATTATCTTGAAACGATCGCATCTCCTCTTACAAATCAGCCTGGGCACTGCAGACAACGGAGGAGGCCCTGCTCTCGGTCCCACCCCCAAGCACGGCTGGTGGGAACGAGAGAGAGGACCTTCTCCATGGTAGTCCCCCACCTCTGGAACTCCCTCCCTAAAGAAATAAAGCTGCCCCCCTCCCTCCTCTCCTTCAAAAAAACAACTTAAGACCTACTTTTGCTCACTAGCATATGGAGAGGAGTAGGATTAGATGATTGAGAGATCACTCCTGGGCCTCTGGTTGAGAATTATGTGTATTTGGGCTTTTCTGGTCCACACCAGCCCAATGACCTCATTTGGCTACATAATCAACCCACACCATTTTGTGAACCCTTGCTGGTTGTTGTGCACTAATGTAGATGTTTTGTTTAGATTTTGGTTATTATAGAATTTAGTCTGATTGCGAGTAGTTTAACTTATTGATGTCAGATTTAATTTACTGATGTTAGGGCTTAATTTGATGTTAGGCTTTAATGTTACTTTTATATGTAGTGGTTTTCTGGGATTTTATGTTAGTACTAGCTGTACCCAACATATGTTGCTATGGCCAACCTTCCTCTTTCACTCCTTTCTTTCTCTCTTTCCTTCCCTCCCTCCCTTTCCTTCCTTTTTTTTCCTTCTCTCTTTCCTTCTTTTCCTTTTCCCTTCCTTCCCCCCTTTTCTTTCCCTTCCCCTTTCTCCCTTCTCTACCTATTCTTGGACTGCAACTCCCAGCAGTCCTCCTGATCGACCTACCTACCTACCTACCTATCTCTATCTAATCTATCTGGAGGATTGCTGGAAGTTGCAGTCCAGGAATAGGAAATTGGAAATATGCAGGAATTGGGATGCTCTCAAAGAAATCTAAGGAGGAGAAATCTTGCATTTTGGAAGCAGTGCATTTGGATCATCCTCCTCTCCTAAAGGGCCTGGTATAGGGGATGCTGGGAGCTGTCTTTCAGAGTGTGGATGTGTTATTGTGTGTTTTGTTTGCCGGGGGAGACATTTTTGCACATGCGCTGTAGCATCTTTTTGCCTTTTTAAGTCCCTTCTACTGTGTTTTTATGAGTGATGGTCACTCATTGGCCTGATAGGTGTATTGTGTCCAAATTTGGTGTTAATTCATCCAGTGGTTTTTGAACATTATTCTTATTTATATAGATTGTGTGTTTTAAGTAGACATTGAATGTTTGCCATTGTTATGTTGGAATCCGCACCCATGGCGAAAGAAACATGCTAAGAGGAAGGCGCATGAAGCAAACCCTTGTCTGGAAATCTGTGTCCTCAATGTGAAACACAATGTGGATCCAGAATAGGTCTCACGGACTCACCACAATGTGGATCCAGAATAGGTTACAGACTCACCACTCTGTTTTTAGAAAACAATTGTACTTGGTCACAAGGGATGACGATGATCAGTTTTAGTTTTGGAATAAGACTTTGAAAAGTTCAGGGGCCAGTTCACACTACACTATTTTATTCCACTTTAACCACCATGTTTCCATCCCAGGTCATTCTGCAAGAAACATTCAGAATTCGCAGCCTGAAGGACAATGTACCCATTTAAATTACAAGGATTCCATAAAATGCCACCATGGAAATTAAAGTGCAACCATAGCACTATAGTTGTGTGATTCAGCATTTGAACATTCACTGAGTCATGGAAATCCACTGGTTAGCCTTGATCATGTCACTCTCCCTCAGCCTAAGAGAAAGGCAAGAGCCTCTACTGTGCAAATCTTGCCAAGAAAATCCTGGGACAAGTTGCCATAAATCAGAGCCACATAACACATCCCACAGCCAACTCATGCACCGGGGAGGGAAAGATTCAGGCATCCGCTGGCACCTTCCCTATGTGCCCTTGCCTGTTCTCTCTGCTCTGTTTGCTCCCTGCTGTTCCGCAGGAAAGCCTGGATGGCCCAAGAAAGGCAATTTCTGTCACCACCACATTTCTTTCCATCTACACCAGTGTGTCAACCATCTTCATGCCGCAACCCCTTAATACAGTTCCTCATGTTGTGGTGATCCCCAACTATAAAATTATTTCTATTGCTATTTCATAGCTGTAATTTTGCTACTGTTATGAATCGTAATGTAAATATCTGATATGCAGAATGTATTTTTATTCACTGGACCAAATTTGGCACAAATACCCAATACGCCCACATTTGAGTACTGGTGAGATTGGGGGATTGATTTAGTCATTTGGGAGTTGTAGTTGCTGGGATTTATAGTTCACCTACAATTACAGAGCATTCTGAGCTCCACCAACAATGGAACTGAACCAATCTTGGCACTCAGAACTCCCATGACCAACAGAAAATACTGGAAGGGTTTGGAGGGCATTGGCCATAAGTTTTTGAGTTGTAATTCACCTACATCCAGAGAGCAGTGTGGACTCAAACAATGACAGATCTGTACCAAACTTGGCAGTAATACTCGGCATGCCGTAACGTGAATACTGGTGGAGTTTGGACAAAATAGACCTTGACATTTGGGAGCTGTAGTTGCTGGGATTTATAGTTCACCTCCAATCAAAGAGCATTCTGACCACCACCAATTATAGAATTGGGCCAAACTTCTTGCACAGAACCCCCATGCCTTGAAGGGACTTGCTGATGCGAGCCTCCCTCCAACCTCGTCCGCTCTCCCTCACCCCACGTTGTCATATGCCGAGCACACCTGTTCGCCCCATACCGCTTGGAGTCTCAGAAACAGCCCTCACCTTGGCGAGAGGCTGGCCAATAACAGCAGAAGAGGGCTTTTGGTGGGAGGATTTGCCATCTGTTTCCAAAAAGGAAAAGAAGGGCAGGCAGAGAGATCTTCAGCCTTCTCTTCCAAAGGGGTTCCTAAGACCATCAGAAATATATGTTTTCTGATGGTCTTTGGCAACTCCTCTGAAACCCCCTTGTGACCCTCAGATTGAGAAATGCTGATGTACACCATCTTTGTCTGGTGTGACCAATGGAAACCTGGTGATTGCTCCCCCCCCCCTCAAAAAAATACAATTTCTCCTATTCCTTTCTCTTAGTAGGCCTAGCATTTGCATGATTAATCTGAAGTAACCATGTGGTAATATCCCCCGTGCAGGCATGTATTAAATGAAAGAGCTGATGGTCCCCTTACTCTAAAGCAGTGTTTCTCAACCTTCCTAATGCTGCAACCCCTTTATACAGTTCCTCATGTTGTGGTGACCCCCAACCATAACATTATTTTAGTTGCTATTTCATAACTGTCATTTTGCTACTGTTATGAATCATAATGTAACTATCTGATATGCAGGATGTATTTCCATTCACTGAACCAAATTTGGGACAAATACCCGATATGTCTAAATTTGAATACTGATGGGGTTGCAGGGGGAGGGTTGATTTTGTCATTTGGGAGTTGCTGGGATTTGTAGTTCACCTACAATCCAAGAGCATTCTGAACTCCACCAACGATGGAATTCAACCAAACTTGGCACACAGATCTCTCATGACCAACAGAAAATACTGGAAAAGTTTGGTGGGCATTGATCATGAGTTTTGGAGTGGTAGTTCATCTACATCCAAAGAGCACTGTGGACACAAACAATGATGGATCTGGACCAAACTTGGCACAGATATTCAATATGCCCAAATGTGAACACTGGTGGAGTTTGGGGAAAATAGACCTTGACATTTGGGAGTTGTAGTTGCTGGGATTTATAGTTCACCTACAATCAAAGAGCATTCTGAACCCCACCAAGGATAGAATTGGCCAAACCTGCCACACAGAACCCCCATGACTAACAGAAAAATGCTGTGTTTTGTGATAGTCTTTGGTGACCCCTCTGCAACCCCCTCGTGACCCCCCCCCCTTGGTCCCAACCCCCAGGTTGAGAAACACTGCTCTAAAACAAAAGAGGGTGACTTTAGCTTTAGAGTAAAGGGAAGATCAATCTGATACAAGAATTGTGGGAGCTATACTCCACAGAAAGGACAAAGTTTCCCCCATTTATGCAAGAGATGTATTCTTGTCACATACACATACAAAGGTTGTAACTTCAGGTTTATTAGCAAATAACCCTCAGATGACATTTTGTTTATGCTAATACATGTAACTAAGTTTCTGAATTCATACAAAGCAAGTGAACAGTAGCACTGAACCCACAACAGTAGCACTAAACCCACAACAGAAGGATACTGGTAAGTCGAAAGAGGCGGCCCAGTATTTATTTCTGGAAGATCCCATGCAAATGCTGTAAAATTGCATCGAAAGGTCACCACCCAAAAGGCAAAAGTCTCTGTTGTCAGACTACTTCCAGAAGGAGGTTTGGGGGAATCAGAAATGTCGTTTATTCCAAAGCTCCAGATGAGCAGCCCTTGAAGCTACAAGCGAGGGGAAACTAGGCCTCAGCCACTGCAAAGAATCACAGGGCCATTACTTCCCAGTAACGGCAGGCTTCTCCTGGCGGGTGATGGGGATGCTCCGCTCCTGGGCACCGGCTGCTTGGGCAGTGGGTGCTGTGATGGACAGCACACCGTCCGGAGAGAGGGCCGAGGTGATGGCCGCCGGATCCACCCCTTTGGGGATCATGTAGCGGCGGTGAAACTCCCGGGAGATGTAACCATGCTCATCCTGCATGAGTAGCAAAAGAAAGGAAACAAGCATGAGGTGAGTCACTAGTATTATTTATTTATTTATTTATTTAAAACATTTATATTCCGCCCTTCTAACCCCGAAGGGGACTCAGGGTGGAGCACAGCATATACATGGCAAACATTCAATGCCGGGACACAAATTCACATACACATAAACATTAAAAAAAATATATCAAAATATACACCATTTAAAACCGTCCTAGTCATCCGCATCAAATCTAATTGGCCTGGATCTTAATCTCTGCGATGGTACATAGTGGGAGATGCATTCGGACGGCCAAAGCCAACAATTTGAATTGTGCCCGGTAGCAAACTGGCAGCCAGTGGAGCTGGTGTAACATGGGAGTTGTATGCTCCCTGTATACCGCCCCAGTTATTAACCTGGCTGCCTCTCGCTGGACTATTTGAAGCTTCCGAGCAGTCTTCAAAGGCAACCCCACGTAGACTGCGTTGCAGTAGTCTATCCTAGATGTAACGAGAGCGTGGACCACCATTACATCCCAAGGTATGGGCGCAGCTGGCACACAAGTTTTAATACATTTTTAGTACATTCAGGAGGATCTGCCTCAAAGTCCAGAGATGGCTTTTCGACAAGAGGATGCACACTATTAATTTAGCCAAGGGGGTGCTCAGTATAAAGACTGCTTTAAGACTGTCTGGGCAGGGGGTCAAACAATCCCACCACTGCCACCAAATTATAAAGGCATGCAGATGGAAATACGATCAATCCCACCGCTGCCACCAATTATAAAGACGGCTATATATATGTGGCACCAACAATATCTCTGGACAGGGGGGGCAAACAGATCCCACCAACTGTCCCTCCAATATAAAGAATTTACACCACTTTATAAAGACTTCACTGGCACCTATATAACGTTTGAGGGGATGTCTCTCTATTTAAACTTTCGCTGCCACCATAAACTAAATGAACAGGAACCCTCTAGCTGGTTAAACTATTAAAAAGGCTTTTTAGACCACCAAGTACTGTGTCTTCTTATTTTCTTCTTTAAAGGGAAGCAGGTGAGGTTGAAAAGGAAAAGGGACTAAATCCACAAATGTACACTTGACTCAGGCTTTTAAGTTTCAAAATAATCAAGGAAAGTTTATTTAATATAGTACAGAAGAAAGTGTAAATGCTGTTTAATAAGCTTGGCTGTTACAGATAAAATGTTCTGGTTCTTGAAAGCGTAACGGTTGCATGAGAATGGTTCTTTCTTTGTTACAGATATAAAGATTTACTTCTCTTTAAACACAAGTACTCTTGACAGGATCTGAAATCCCTGCCAAGATACAACTGTAGCCTAGCTAACTACAAAACCCAGCTATTTTTTCCCTAAATAGCTGTACCCAGTTTGCTACAGCTTACTTCGCTGGCAAACTTAAGGCAAACTGCCTACTCTTAACACGAACTCCTAAAACTTCTGTAATCCTGCTCTAAACTCTAACATCAACAGACTGACTCACTAAAAACAGCTTCTTTCTTTCCCTCCAAACAGTCTAACTCCGCCCCCCTTTAATAAACCAATCCTGGCTGCTCTAAGGCTGGCTCAGGCCTAGGCCACTCCCCCTCTCTGAACTGGAGCTTTCCCTAAACTAAAATGGCTCCTGCTGCCCTCTGCCAGGCCTTCTAAGGCTGAAACTAACTAGCCTGCCTCTCCTAGGCCCTGCCACCCAGGCTGGCAAGGTAAGGGATCTTCACACTCAGCATCTGGGTTCTTTCCAGGTAGATCAGTAGTTCCCAACCTGTGGTCCGTAAGGACTAAAATATAATCCGTGGTCTCACCATTACTACACCATTGGAACGAAAGCAACTGATCTTGCAAAACCCTCTTATAATGCTGAATCTTATTAAATATGCTTTTATGTGGGCGAGCAGATGTTGACTACTTAATGGCATTTGTTCTGTATCAGAAACTAGAACTGATGTGGTCTATCCAATGCAATTTTCTGAATCGGCACCCAACAACCAAATCAAATCTGAAGTTAGGAACCCCCAGTGGCACAATGGGTTAAACCCTTGTGCCGGCAAGACTGAAGACCAACAGGTCGGAGGTTCAAATCTGGGGATGAGCTCCCTCTGTCAGCTCCAGCTCCCCATGCAAGGACATGAGAGGAGCCTCCCACAAGGATGGTAAAACATCAAAACATCCAGGCGTCCCCAGAGCAACGTCCTTGCAGATGACCAATTCTCTTACACTAGAAACAACTTGTAGTCTCTCAAGTCGCTCCAGACACACAAACAAAAAAACCAAAAAACCAAATTTGACCGAAAACTGATTCATAACCCTTTTGGTACCTGGTCAAAAAAAGATTGGGAACCACTGAGGTAGATCAACCACAGGGATTCCCAAGATCTGATTTCAAGAGTATTTCAAGGCTAAATCAGGAATAGAATTTGGAAAAGTTTACTGGACCATAAATCCCAGAATCTCCCAGCCAACATGTCCAGTGGGATATATATCAGGCATGGGCAAACTTTGGTCCTCTATGTGTTTTGGACTTCAACTATCACAATTCCTAATAGCCGGTAGGCTGTTAGGATTTGTGGGAGTTGAAGTCCAATACATCTAGAGGACTGAAGTTTGCCCATGCTTGATATAGATAGTCTAAACTTTCTGAGCTCTGACTAGTGGAGCTAACCTTTGCCCGTCCGGGTACTTTAGATCACTACTTCATCTGTGCTTCCTCACCCCAAATGGAATCCCCTTAGCTCAAACTTCTGAAAAAATTGGCAAACAGTAAAAGGTTTCTGAATGTCACCTAATAACTGGCTTAGACATTTACACAAATCTGTTGCGCAGTGTTTGCAAACTCTGCAGAAAAGAGGGCAAAAAACTCTACAGAAAAGAAGCCAGACCTTGAAACTGCTAGGCCATTAAATGCTAATCAAGGTGGCCAATTGAAACATTCAAACCTGCCTCAAACAGACAAGATTTCTTTCTCCCACCCTGGACATTATTCCACAGATATATAAACCTCACTTATCTAGTTTCCAACAGACCTCACAACCTTTGAGGATGCCTGCCATAGATGCAGGCGAAACATCAGGAGAAAATGCTTCTGGAACATGGCCATACAGCCCGGAAAACTCACAGCAACCCAGACAAGAATTTCCAACAGATCTCACAACCTCTGATGATGCCTGCCGTAGATGCAGGCAAAACATCAGGAGAGAATGCTTCTGGAACATGGCCATACAGCCCGGAAAACTCACAACAACCCAGACAAGAATTTCCAACAGATCTCACAACCTCTGATGATGCCTGCCATAGATGCAGGCAAAACATCAGGAGAGAATGCTTCTGGAACATGGCCATACAGCCCGGAAAACTCACAGAAACCCAGATCTCACAACCTCTGAGGATGCCTGCCGTAGATGCAGGCGAAACATCAAGAGAGAATGCTTCTGGAACATAGCCATACAGCCCGGAAAACTCACAACAACCCAATGATTTTGAGTATTATCAAATACTTGGCAGAAAATGCTTCAGCTGTACTCCATAAAAAAGGAAAATTGTCCTGTTTAGCAAGCCTTGCAAAAATGTTTCAGGACAAATGGAGTCCCGAGTGAAAAAGTTTAAGAAGCCTTATTTGGATTACAATTCCTATGAGCCCTAAACAGGATAGTAAATGGCAAGACATTGATCCAGCTCTAGCCCAGATCATCCAGGCTTTGGACAAAAAGTCAAAGACAAAAGAAAAGTCAGACTTGGTACCATATAAAAACCTTCCTTGAATTCCAAGATTGGGAGCCACAACCAATTCACTGTGTCTCTTATGTCTGGTGAAGGGAGAAGCCTTTATACCTGTTGCTTGTCAGTCACGTTGAGAACAATGCTTTTAAGAGCATGTGCAGATTTGTGCCTGTGCATGCAGGCACAATCACCCACCCATCATGTTAGTACTTCGGAAGATTCACAGGGCATCTCCATTAAATACGTCTCCCTTTACTACTTGGATAGCATTAATATTCCAACTGAGTCCATCATAAAGGCATGGCCATATGATCTTAAACAAACAAACAAACAAACAAACAAACAAACAAACAAGAGATGGCATCTGAATGCCAATCTTCTATGATGAGCTGTCAGGAACACGTCCTTCCCTCTGTTCTGACTCACTGCCAACTTCGGACTTCAAAATTAAGTTTGGACCCAGCATACATGATTCTTGTACCTCACATTAGAAATGGAAGAGCTCCTGGTGGAACAATGGGCTAAACCCTTTTGCCAGCAGGGCTACTGACCAACAGGGTTGAGCTCCCTCTGTCAGCTCCAGCTCCCCATGCAGGGACATGAGAGAAGCCTCTTACAAGGATGGTAAAACATCAAACATCTGAGTGTCCCCTGGGCAACGTCACTGAGGACGGCCAATTCTCTCATACCAGAAGCAACTTGCAGTTTCTCAAGTTTCTCCTGACACAAGGGGAAAAAAAAAAACAGGAATGGACAATATGGTGCTTTCCAGTTGTTGCTGGACTACAACTCTCATCAACCTCAACCAACATGACCACTGTCTACAAGTTATGAGGGTTATAAGGTAAAGGTTTTCCCCTGACATTAAGTCCAGTTGTGTCCGACTCTGGGGTGTGGTGCTCATCTCCATTCCTGAGTCAGCGTTGCTCATAGACACCTTATAAAGAAGCAGCAAGGAGTAGTAGAGAAGATTTTTAAATGATTTTATCAAACTGGGAAATATAGAGAAATAATCCCTCCGCTGCTCAACCAAATTAAAACGATGACACCTCCACTACAGAACTAGTTCACCAAAATATAAAGGGAGTATGGTTGCTAAACCAACTATATAGGAGCATAGATCTAAGGAAGTAATGCTACCCCTCTATTCTGCTTTGGTTAGACCACATCTGGAATATTGTGTCCAATTCTGGGCACCACAATTCAAGAGAGTATTGACAAGCTGGAATGTGTCCAGAGGAGGGCGACTAAAATGATCAAGGGTCTGGAGAACAAGCCCTATGAGGAGCGGCTTAAGGAGCTGGGCATGTTTAGCCTGAAGAAGAGAAGGCTGAGAGGAGAGATGATAGCCATGTATAAATATGTGAGAGGAAGCCACAGGGAGGAGGGAGCAAGCTTGTTTTCTGCTTCCTTGGAGACTAGGACGCGGAACAATGGCTTCAAACTACAAGAGAGGAGATTCCATCTGAACATGAGGAAGAACTTCCTGAATGTGAGAGCCGTTCAGCAGTGGAACTCTCTGCCCCGGAGTGTGGTGGAGGCTCCTTCTTTGGAAGCTTTTAAACAGAGGCTGGATGGCCATCTGTCAGGGGTGATTTGAATGCAATATTCCTGCTTCTTGGCAGGGGGTTGGACTGGATGGCCCATGAGGTCTCTTCCAACTCTTTGATTCTATGATTCTATATCTTTAAAAGTTAGGAACTGGGAATCACTGGAACTGAGAGACTTAAAATGATTCTTTAAAAGATTTCCACTGCCACCATATTAATAAACAGGCTGAAGTATTATTGAGAGGTTGTTCAGTAACACACTCTGTGTCACCATAGTTTACTTAAAGGCTGTTAAAAGCTGACTTGAATAACGGTTTAACCACAAAGGTATTCACACTGAGGCTGGTATAAGTTGATAAAAATAACAAGAACGTTTATTGAACAGGCTTAAATAATTCAAGTACAAATGCTTAATGGTTTCAGTAAAATATTAGCATAAAAAGCTTATGGTTGTGTTTGAGTAAAGAATCTTAAAAACTTCTGGATTACAAGTCTTGAAAGTTTCAACACAGAAAATTTCTTCAGGAAATTAATCTCTGAAAGTAACTCCCAAAAATCCCCCTTAGGAATCTAGCCAAAAACCCTGTACTATACTTCCTTAGGAAAAGAACAGACCACTAATGGGGTGCTGTTCCATACAACAGTATTCTAGCTATCTTCAATAGCTATTCTGAATACTACACAAAAGACTGACCCAAACTCCTTCAAAAACCCAAACTGCTCTTGCTAACACCCAGACTTCTTCTCTCTACCTGTTCCAAAGTCCAACTGGCAAACTGGGACTTCAAGCCTCAGTTTAAAAGCCACTTTTTTCCTTTAGATCACTTAGGCTCCGCCCCCATCTTTCTAACCAATCCTAGCCTTCTAATTTTCCCTCCAAGACTAGAACATGCCTCCTTAAGGCAAACCTAACCTAAGATGGCGTCTCCCTTTCCTAAAATGGATACCGTGGCTTTGCCGGGCCCACTTCCTTAGGCCTAAGCTAGCCTGCTAAGGTAAGGGAATCATTACACACCTCCAAGGTCATGTGGCCAGCTTGACTGTATGGCGCACCGTTACCTTCCCGCCGGAGCGGTACCTATTGATCTACTCATATTTGCATGTTTTCAAATTGCTAGGTTGGCAGAAGCAGGGGCTCACAGTGGAAGCTCACACGCTCCCCAGATTCGAACCTGAGACCTTTCGATCAGCAAGTTCAGCAGCTCAGTGGTTTAACCCACCACGCCACTGGGGGCTCCTGAGTCCAAAGCATTTAACAGGCATGAAATTAACTACTACGCTGCAAATGAAACAAATCAGAATCCATAAAAGCATCTGCAACCCAAGCACCCAAAAATTAAATCAGGCTTTTAGGCCAAGTCCACTCATAAAACCACTTCACAAAGCTACATACCGGACGTTCCTCGTGCTTGGCATGGACCTCAATGTAGTCACCCACCACCTTCACATTCAATTCCTCCGGGGAGAAATGCTTCACATCCAGCAACACTGAGAACTTGTCTTTGTCCATCTTCATCTGAGGAGGAGAAAACAGATCACGGCTTAGCAAGACTGGCAACAGTCCTTTTCTTGGTCATAGAACAATAGAGTCGGAAGAGACCACACGACGGTCCAGCCGGTCCAAACCCCTTCTTCCATGCAGGAAAAGCACACTCAAAACACTCCCAACAGATGGCCCTCCAGCAGCTTCCAAGGAAGATGCTTCCACACTATGGAATTAAAATCCTGCTAACAAAAGCGCAGCCTCTACATAAATACGCATATAGTTCACAGCTGCTGGATTTTTCTTTTTAGACCAGGTATGGGAAAACCCAGGCCTGGGAGTCGGATGTGGCTCTTTGGGCTCTTTTCTCAAGTCATCCTCTCTCTCACCATCCTATCCTTCCTTTTCTCTTTCCTTCCACCCACTTATCCTTCCTTCCTTCACTCTCTTACCTCTGCCTTCCCTCCCTTTTGTCTTTCTTTCCTTCTCTCTTTCCTCCCTCCATTCCCTTCCACCCTTCCTCCCATCCTTCTTTTCCTCCCTCCCCTTTTCCCTTCCTCCTTTCTTCCTGAGGGATGTTTAGCTGGTTGAAGGGAACATGAGAACCACATTTCAAGATCTGAGGGGGAGGGAGGGGGAAAACACTTTCTGCTGCTCTGGAGACCAGGGCACAAGGGAGCAATGGTTTCAAATGGCAGGGAAAGAGATTCAACTGAAAATATTAGGAAGAACTTCCTAGAGAGTGGAATAGTTTGCTTCGGAGTGTGGTGGAGTCACCTTCTCTGGAGGCTTTTCCGCAGAGGCTGTCTATCAGGAGTGTTTTGATTGTGTCTTCTTGCATGGCAGGGGGTTGGACTGGATAGCTCTAGGATTCTATATCAGGACTAGGCAATGTGAGTTCAATGGATACACTTTTTCTCTCCCGGCCACCATCTCATCCTGATGAAGACCAACCCTTTTGAGATGCAAATGTATCCTGTCTTTTTCCTTCACTTTCTGCCTCCCGAAAGAAAAGAGGAAGGAGAGGAAAGGGAAGGGGAAGGGGGCTTGGGCCCGTCTTCTGGCCCACCCACCCTGCTCCAGACCATCATGCGGCCCCCAAGTTAGAAAGCCCATGTCTGCTATACAGGATGTTATCTTTAATGCACAAAACCAAAGAATAATAGAGTTGGAAAGAGACCACACAATGGTCTATCCAGTACAACCCCCTTCTTCCATGCAGGAAAAGCACAATCAAAGCACTCCTGCCAGAAGGCCATCCAGCTGGTGTTAAAAAAACCCAAGGAAGGAGCTTCCACAACACCTATGTACTATGGAATTAAAATCCTGCTAACAAGAGCGCATCTATATCAATGTGCGAATAGTTCGCAGCTGCTGGATTTTTCCTTTAAGAGGGTGCTATCTTTAATGCATAAAATCATAGAATAATAGAGTTGGAAAGACACCATACAGTGGTCCAGTCAGTCCCTTCTTCCATGCAGGAAAAGCACAATCAAAACACTCCTGACAGATGGCCATCCAGCCGCTGTTAAAAAGCTTCCATGACACTATGCACTTCGGAATTAGTGCACAGTATGGTGGAAGCAAGCTAACAAGAGCACAACCTCTACTAGATAAAAAAATCCACTTAAAATCCAGTTTCTGCCTCCTGCAGAATTCTGGGGTTTGCAGTTTAGTGAGGCTGTTAAAGGCTCCTCTGTAAACTACAAACCCCAGAATTCTGCAGGAAGCAGAAACCGGTTTTAAGTGGATTTTTTCTCTAGTGTGATGAGGATAAATACACATGAAGTTCAGAGCTGCTGGGTTTTTCCATTAGATGGACAATATCCACAGCCCTGTGGGAAATCCACACACCATCTTCGGCATCCTGGGAGTCTAAGACAGCAGACAAAACACTTAGCCGCCTCTAGAAAAGCATTTGGCTTGTGGATTGTGTGAGCCGAGGTCCAAAATAACAACTTTCCTATAGAACCTCATCTGCAGGTTTCCTACCTACAGTTGTCCCACTCTATATTTAGAGCCAGAGAGTTTTGGAACAGTTTCCATCCACGATCTGTGCCAAGGCCTGTGACAAGGCATTTGGAGAAAAGACAAAGCAGGAGAGATTGAAGCCCACCATTTGGACTCAGGGAGGGAAGGCGGAGCACAAGCCAAAGAGTTTGGGTTATTGGCCCACAAGACAAACAACAAACCTTTGCATTCCACTAACCTTACTTAATATAATGTGCATTGTTTACTGTTTGATTGCTTAGACTAAGTATGGGCCAATTTGAGCCCTCCAGGTATTTTGGACTCTAATTCCCACCAGTTCTAACACCCTCAGGCCCTTTCCTTTTCCCATTCAAGACTTGTGGGAACGAGGGAGAAAGCCTTCTCTGCTGTGGCTCCCCATCTTTGAGATTAGGCAAGCCCCCACCCTAGCAGACTTCAAGAAAAACCTGAAAACCTGGCTCTTCCGATGTGCCTTTGAAGAGTGACTATTTATCCTATTTCTGTTTGCTCCATCTATACTGTTGCCCCTATGATGCATCCCCCCCCTAAACTGAAAGCCTTACAACACTGTTTTATCCTTTTGGGCTCCCCCCACTTACATATTTCCTATTCCTACCTCATCCAGGGTTTTATCATTTTATCTCATCCATTTGGTCTGCCCATTCTGTTCGAGTTTATATTATGTTAATTTGTTTTATTTATTTTATTTTGCTACTGCATTTTATGACTTAATTTTTTGTTATCTACATTCTGTATTTTATTGTGTTGTATTTTATTTTGGGGCTTGGCCTCGAGTCCCCTTTGGGGAGATGGTGGCAAGGTATAAATAAAGTGTATTTATTATTATTACGAGCTATGCCCGCCACGCATTGCTGTGGCCAACCTTCCCTCCCTCTTTCTCTCCTTCTTTCCCTCCTTCCCTTTTTTTCTTTCCTTTTCTCCTTCCTTCTCTCCCTCTTTCCTTCCTTCCCTTTTTCTTTTCCTTCTTTTTTTCCCTTCCATCCTTCCTTCACTCCTTCTTTCCTTCTCTTTTATTTTCCTTCTCTCCTTCCTTCCTTCTCTCCCTTTCCTTCTTTTCTTTTCCTTCCTTTTTTCTCTCCTTCCTTCTCTACCTCTTTCCTTCCTCCCTTCTTTCGCTTCCTCTTTCCTTCTCTCCATCTTTCCTTCCTCCCCTTTTTCTTCCTTCCTTCATTCCTTTTCTCTCTCTTTCTTTCTCTACCTCTTTCCTTCCTTCCTTTCCTTCTTTTCCCTTCCATCCTTCCTTCCCTCCCTCATTCTCTCCTTCCTTCACTCCCTTTCCTTCCCATTTTTCTTTCCTTCTCTGCCTCTTTCCTTCCTCCTCCTTTTCCTTTCTCTACCTCTTTCCTTCCTTCCTTCGCTCTTTGTTTCAGTGCTTTTCTTTCTTTCTCCCCTTTTCCTTTCCTTCCTTCCTCTTTCCTCCCTTCTTCTCCTTCCTTCTTCCTCTCCTCTTTCCTTCCTGCCCTTTTCTTTCCTTCCTTTTTTCTCCTTTCTTCTCCTTACCTCTTTCCTTCCTTCCTTCCTTTTCCTTCCATCCTTCCTTCCTCCTCTTCTCTCTTTCCTTCCTCCCTTTCCTTCCTTTTTTCTTTCCTTCCTTCCTTCGCTCTTTGTTTCCGTGCTTTTTTTCTTTCTCCCTTCCTTCCCTCCTTTTCTGTATAATCATTTAGCTTTTCGTCATTTAGCTTTTTGGGGTTTTTGAGTCCTTTCCGCTGTTTTTTTGGGGGGGTTTATGAGTGATGGTCACTCGTTGGTCTGTTAGGAATATAGTGTCCAAATTTCATGTTAAGTAATCTAGTGGTTTTTGAGTTATGTTAATCCCACAAATGAACATGACATTTTTATTTATATGGATTATTATTATTTAGGAGCTTAAGAAAGTTAGAATGTTGGGGCTGGCCAATCACAAACCATATGCAAATTAGCAGGTCGAGATAGCTCGTGCATGGGCCAACTTGGTCCCTCAAAGTGTTTTGGACTCCAACTCCCAGCATTCCTCACAGCCTCAGGTCCCTTTCAGGGACCTGAGGCTGTGAGGAATGCTGGGAGTTGGAGTCCAAAACACTTTGAGGGCCCAAGTTGGCCCAGGCCTGCTCTAGAGTCAAGCGAGCCAGGAAAGAGCTCTATCTCTGTCTGCTGGCATTGTCTCCCTGGCAGGAATGTTACCATAATAGGCATCCCCGCTGCAGAAGCCCAGCCCTCAGGCTCACTGTAGGCCCTCTGCCCATGCCCAGAGGCCCTCTGCCCACCCCGTTCCCCGATTCCCCGCTCTCTGACCTCGGAGAGTCCGGTCTCCGGGACGTGGACGCTGGGCACGCGCATGTAGTAAGGCGAGAGGGTCGGGGAGAAGAGCTCGCTCTCCAGGAGGCCTTCCCCGAAGCGCTGGTCGAAGAGCCTCTGCGGGAAGAGCGAAGGCATCATGGAAGGGAAGCCCATGGCGCGGCGGATCCAAGGGTGGCTGATGGCGATGTCCATTCTCGGCTCCTAGCAAAGTCCTCCCGAAGAAGAAGAAACCAAGAGAGCGCTCCGAAGCCGCGCCGACGCTCGCCTTTTATACCCTCCCGCTGGAATTGGCTAGAAGCGTGGAGAGGCTTCGGGCGGAGCTCGACGCGCCGAGGAGCCAATCGCCTCCGCGAGAAAGGCGAGGGGCGGGGCTAAGACTGTATTCCTTCTCGCTCTGTCCAGAAGAGACGCTTCGCAAGCATGGAGAGTCACGCCCAGCCGGGGAGGCATGAGAAAGGCGAGGGGCGGGGCCAAGATGAGGCTCGACGCGTCGGGGAGCCAATCGCCTGAGCGAGAAAGGCGAGGGGCGGGGCCAAGGCTGTTTTCCTTCTCGCTTTGTCCAGAAAAGCCTCTTTTCAAGCATGGAGAGTGACTGAGCTCATCACGTGACTCATATCAGGCCTAGGCCAACTTGGGCCCTCCCTCCAGGTGTTTTGAACTCCAACTCCCACCATTCCTAACAGCCTCAGGCTTCTTGATCAAGGGTCTGGAGAACAAGCCCTATGAGGAGCGGCTTAGGGAACTGGGCATGTTTAGCCTGAAGAAGAGAAGGCTGAGAGGAGATATGATAGCCATGTATAAATATGTGAGAGGAAGCCACAGGGAGGAAGGGAGCAAGCTTGTTTTCTGCTTCCTTGGAGACTAGGATGCGGAACAATGGCTTCAAACTACAAGAGAGGAGATTCCATCTGAACATGAGGAAGAACTTCCTGACTGTGAGAGCCGTTCAGCAGTGGAACTCTCTGCCCTGAGTGTGGTGGAGGCTCCTTCTTTGGAAGCATTTTAAACAGAGGCTGAATGGCCACCTGTCAGGGGTGCTTTGAATGCAATATTCCTGCTTCTTGGCAGGGGTTGGACTGGATGGCCCATGAGGTCTCCTCCAACTCTTTGATTCTATGATTCTTCCTAAGTGGTTGAGGAGGGAAAGGAAAGGTCTTGAGGCTGTTAGGAATGGTGGGAGTTGGAGTCCAAAACACCTGGAGGGAGGGCCCAAGTTTGCCCATGCCTGCTTTTTTTTTTTTTTTTTTGTCGTGTCAGGAGCTTCTAGTGTGAGAGAATTGGCCGTCTGCAAGGACATTGCCCAGGGGACACCTGGATGATTTTATGTTTTTATCATCCTTGTGGGAGGCTTCTCTCATGTCCCCACATGAGGAGCTGGAGCTGATAGAGGGAGCTCATCTGCCTCTCCCCAGATTCGAACCTGTGACCTGTCGGTCTTCAGTCCTGCCGGCACAGGGGTTGAACCCACTGCGCCACCGGGGGCTCGTTCTGCTTCAGATCCAAGCTCTCTCTTATAGCAGATCCCATGCCTGCTATAAACCCTGCATATTGTTGCTAATAGGTTTAGAATTCTAGCATTGGAAGAGACCCTATCGGCCATCTAGTCCAAGCTCCTGGGTGTACCATCAAAGCAGCCCTGACAGATGACCATCCACATTGGTTACATCCCGGTTGGTAACCTCTGGTTACGTCCCGTTTAGACTACTGCAACGCTCTCTACGTGGGGTTGCCTTTGAAGACGGCCAGGAAGCTTCAATTGGTCCAACGTGCGGCAGCCATGATACTAACAGGAGCGGGACGCAGGGAGCATACAACCCTTGTTGTACCAGCTCCACTGGCTGCCGATTTGCTACCGGGCTCAATTCAAGGTGCTGGCGTTGGCCTATAAAGCCCTAAACGGTTCCGGCCCAAGATACCTATCCGACCGCATCTCAACCTACGAGCCCACCAGGACTTTGAGATCTTCCGGGGAGGCCCTGCTCTCGATCCCGCCTGCTTCACAGGCACGGCTGGCGGGGACGAGAGATAGGGCCTTCTCGGTGGTGGCTCCTCGGCTGTGGAACACCCTTCCCATGGACATCAGACTGGCTCCTTCCCTGATGATATTCCGCAGGAAATTAAAGACTTAGCCATTCATCCGATAGCGAATGATGATACTTGTTTTTATTAATTATAAGCCAAATGTGATGTTATTAATTGTTTATTGTTGTATTTCATCATTCTACTTTCACTTGACTTAGCCGATGGTTTGTTGACCGAAATAAAGGCTACTGACTGACTGACTGAAATTAAAGACTTGGTTGTTCAAGAAGGCGTTCGAACAAGAAGTGCAATGATTGGTAATTGACTATAGGAATGGAACAACGGAAAATGATACTGGATTGTGGTTTGGACGATGAGACGACGCGGAATGGCTTTCGTAGTAATGACGATGTTTTTGTTTAATGCTGGATTGTGAATTATTTTATACTGTGTCTTGAATTTTAAACCTTGTTCTCCTATGTTGTACACCACTGTGAGTCGCCCCCGGGCTGAGAACAGTGGTATATAAGCAAAGTAAATAATAATAAATAATAATATTGGGTGGGTGGCACTGAGAAACTTTTTTGTAACCCCAACATTTAACTATGGCAACCTTCCTAATGTCACGACCCATTAATACAGTTCCTCATATTGTGGTGACCCCCAACCATAAAATTATTTTGCTGCTACTTCATAATTGTAATTTTGCTACTGTTATAATAATAATAATAATAATAATAATAATAATACACCAGACATCACGATTGTGGAAAAGAAAAAAGTTTGGATTATTGATGTTGCCATACCAGGTGACAATTGCATTGAGGAAAAACAACAGGAAAAACTCAGCCATTATCAGGACCTCAAAATCGAACTGCAAAGGTGAGGGCGAGCCTGCTTGAGGCCCCTGCTTTCCAACTGATCTGACCAGCTGCAGGGAGTTCCGCAGTTCCTGAATGCCCCATTGGGCCAACATTGATTAAATGTGCACCAGCAGCAGCCTCAACCAAGGACTCTCTCCAACCTTGAGCTCTCTCCTTTTGCTTTTCTCCCCAGCCCAAACATTGTAACAAAACCCCTAATAAAGACTAATTGAATTGTAACCTTCACCTCTCCATAGTGATACATTGTGTCTATTTCTTGACTCAAAGGTATCAAATGCATGAACTTATCCTTTTCTGGGCCGCAGGCAGCCACCGGCTCACCTGGGGATGCCTTCCAGGTGTCCCAGGGAGCCGAATCTGCGTTTCTTTAAACCGTGTATACAGAAACCCCTCGGGCCCCCGTATCCGCGGGTTAACCAAACGACTCCATTTTGATGCCATATTTTTCCTAGCCTAATTCTAACACTAATTGATATCTCACTTTTTGCATTTTGGACTCCTGCGCTCTGGGAATAAGCTTTTTGTTTTTCAAGAATATATTTAATAAGAAACAGCTGGTCGTCAAACTGGGCTTCCTGCTGCTGTGCTGCTCCCGCTGACGCTTCTTTGTCCTTTTGGAGCCCCAGGACCCGGAGAACTTGATGTGGTCATCCCATGAGACCCTCGGGAAGTGGATCTGCCACCCTCGCTCCAGTCCTTGGAGGGAATTGTAGTTCTCTTCGGACCTAAGGGCAAGCTTCAGCCTCAGCAATGCAGGACTCCATATCCTGGCTCAGTGGACATACCAAACCACATGATTCATGGACCCTTTTTGCCCCCTCAAAGGACCCTTTGACAATGATAATAGTTTCCCTCTCCTTTTTATGGACTCTCATATAAATATTATGAACTATGGACATATACTGAGCCATGATCGAGGCTCTCATCAATTTCACCATGGAACTCTGGTGGGAGGGATAAATGGGTATGTTTTCTACACTATGATTTCTATCTTTTCCTCTGTGTATCTGACCTTAGACTGACCCTTCTGTCCTATTCCCTTTTATAAGAAATGTTTAAAAAATATAAGAAGCCACTCTCAGTGACCCTGGGAAGGAGGAAATCTCCTGTTTGAAAAGAACCATATCAAGGACATATTTGCATGGACAATACAATGGGCAGTGACCCTGGGGTTCGGAGTCTGACCCCCCAGAGGGAGATGCCCGCTTGGCATGAGTGATCATATCTCAACAGGACAAAGGGCCTTCAGAAAGCCACACTTTGTCCTGATCCGTTTACTAATTCAAACCTCCCTCAATCGAAACTTCAACCAAGATTGCCCCATTGTCTCCATATCTTGGCTCAAGGAAAATCCGGATCCTGGCAGGCTTGCCAGACATCAACGTTGATTGTCACCCTTCAAGATAATAAGCTGGTCGGCTTGAAGGCCCCTGAGGACTCGCCGGCCATTTGGACACCACATATTTACATAATCCACTCAAAAATTAATTGTTTCCCTCAACCTGCCTCCCTCTCTCCTGATTTGCCAGGGGGCCGAGGCGGCAGGAGCTCATCTATTGGCTAAGGCGCACGGGAGGCGGCCAAGCCTCCTCCCAGCTGTAGAGCACCAGCCAATCATTACCGAGCCGGCAGAGGGGCGGGGAGCAGGAAATTCAAAACTGACAACTCTGTTTTATGTATAAAAAGGCTTTATTTTGTGTATGCTGTATGCTTTGCTTGATGAATTATTGCGGCTTTGCATCCTTTCCACTGGATCACGATAAAATCAACTCGGTGGTGCTTTCTTCAGCTTTGATGAGATTCTTTTGGGAACTTAGGGAAAATCTTTTAACTGCGGCTTCCCTTTTCTTTTGCTCACCAAAGTAGCGAGCCCTCTTTGGTGGGTCCGCAGAGTCTCTCCTTCAGGGTGAGACCCTTCTAAATTCCTCCTCGATTTCATTGGCTCTGGCATAAACCAGTACAGGTGGTCCCAGTGGTCATCGGCACACTGGATGCCAAGCCAAAAGATCTCAGCCGGCATTTGGAAACAATAAACATTGACAAAATCATGATATGTCAACTGCAAAGGCCACCTTACTTGGATCAGCACGCATCATTCGAAAATACATCACACGGTCCTAGACACTTGGGAAGTGTTCGACTTGTGATTTTATGATAACAAAATACAGCATATAGATCTCACTTGCTGTGGCACACTGTGTTTTGTGTCAGTAAAATAATAATAATAATAATAATAATAATAATAATAATAATAATAATAATAATTTTATTTTTATACCCCACCTCCATCTCCCCAAAGGGTCTTGGGGTGCCTTACATGGGGACAAGCTTAAACTATCAATAGCCTGAACTTGGAAGGTAGGAGCTTGTGCAATACA